CACCAATTTACCAGCTCGCGCGTGCAATGCGCAGCTACCTACCCCCCCAAATCATCGGTGAACGAAACTGCGGCAGCTACAACCACTGTACGATGAGTACGCGGTTCTTACAGCTTGATGATATGATGATGACAATCTGAGCCAAGGAGAGCAATACCGTCCGCATACTCAATGTCTGTGAGGGAACGTCCTGGATGCATTTTCCGAGGTTTCCTTACAGCTGACAATGATGATGATGACAATCTGAGCCAAGGAGAGCAATACCGTCCGCATACTCAATGTCTGTGAGGGAACGTCCTGGATGCATTTCGATTTCCGAGGTTTCAGAGGTAGCCAGAGAAATTTCAAACAGCATATCAATAACAAAGTTGAAGAGGAAAGGGGAAAGAGGACAGCCTTGTCTTACACCACTGAACGTTGTGAACAAAAGCTTTTCATATACTCGTATGCGCCGACAGGAGTTTGCAAACAGTGCCCTCATAAGGGAGAGAAATTGGAAGGGACACTGATTGTCAGACACTGCCAAAGTTTCTGACGATCGGCAGGATCAAAAGCAGCTTTCAAGTCCAGAAAAACGACTGAAGGAGTGGCGCCGTTCGAGAATTTGTCTCAAGGCGAAGATATTGTCGATGCATCCTCGACCGGGGCGAAACCTAGCTTGCTTCTCACGAATCTGCCGCTCCCGATAATCCATCAATCTGCTCAAAATAATGCCAGAGAATACCCTAGATGTGACCGATACCAGGCCGATACCTTGATAGTTTTCGCATGGTGTTTTGCGCCCTATTTGAAAACTGGGATGGCGGTTCCAAATCTTATGCAATATGGTTGTCAGACTGTTCACCACGTCCTCGCCACCTTCTTTGAAGAGCGCGGGGTGTAGCCCATCCGGGCCAGGTGACTTGTCGCTGGATTTCAGTTGCTAATCGTGGGTTGGTGTCAATGTTCCGTTCGGGCACGCTTGATTCTTCCAGCGGTTGTGTGAATGAGACTGGGTGAACCGTTCTTGGAAGTGCTCAGCCCACCTCTCAAGACGGCGATTCAGGGAGTGGATTGCTGTTCCGTCTTTTTCGCATATTGTCTCATTGACACTTGCCTTGTTTTGATCCGTTGATCATATCAATTGAAACAGGGCGAGGTTGTTGCCTGCAGCTAAAGCATTCATCTCCTGGGCCTTCGAAACCCACCGGCGTTCTCTGTCGTTCTTCAAGCTTCTGATTATCTGATGTTTGAGGGACCTGTGTGCGTCATCATAGCGGCACAATAAGATCTATTGATCTCGAAGACATCCAATGTTCATTGAGTCGAGTCAGATGGGCTGGACAAACGGTTCTGAGAACTAACAGCATTGCTTCTTTAACTCGCCTCCATTCATCCTCCAATTAATTTTTGTCGCTCACATGACTCTGAGTTTCCAGTAGCTTTCTATCCAGATCTGCTCGGTCCTCTTCGATACGCTTTGTAGGTTATGCTGGCTAGGACATGTACTCAACATGCCAGAATATCGTCTGTCTCGTGGAGCTCTTTTCGTCCAACTGAGTGAGAATGGTCATGAGGTGAACAACGTATGACCTCGCAAAGAAGCATGGAGACACCACCCAGTAAACATAGGCGGGTCGGCAATTACTGTCTCCCTGGATGGGGAATCCGGCACTCACCATTGGTTAGTGACACTGGCATAAATGACCCAATCGCTCAATCAGTGGCACTCGTGATCAAAGCTATTGCGTTTGATGTGTGGCTTCCCAGTTTCAGAGCTAACTAAGAATGTAATCGTCTCTGATGCTTGACTGTATGTCCCATGCTCTTCCACTTTTAGGTGATCGAACCAAAGTACCCATGGTACATGGGTACTGATTGATTAGTTAATTAGATCGCTGTCCAAGCACAGGCTCTGTTGAATAAACTGACCACCATCATACCAATCTTCAGCATGCGCCTTGTACCTTCAAGGTGCAAACTCATCCCTCAGAACATTCAATGCTTGAACATGCCGCCTGCTACTTAAGGTGATGCGCAGTAGGTTGTGAACGTCTCGTTGGTTGTGTTAGCTATGACAGAACTGTCTGCTGAAGTCAGTGCACGAATATCAGTGGCCCGAATGAATTTTGCCAACTTGCATCACTTGTAGCGTCAAGAAGGTATATCCTGGGCCACCAGATGGGCTGGACAAACGGTTCTGAGAACTAACAGCATTGCTTCTTTAACTCGCCTCCATTCATCCTCCAATTAATTTTTGTCGCTCACATGACTCTGAGTTTCCAGTAGCTTTCTATCCAGATCTGCTCGGTCCTCTTCGATACGCTTTGTAGGTTATGCTGGCTAGGACATGTACTCAACATGCCAGAATATCGTCTGTCTCGTGGAGCTCTTTTCGTCCAACTGAGTGAGAATGGTCATGAGGTGAACAACGTATGACCTCGCAAAGAAGCATGGAGACACCACCCAGTAAACATAGGCGGGTCGGCAATTACTGTCTCCCTGGATGGGGAATCCGGCACTCACCATTGGTTAGTGACACTGGCATAAATGACCCAATCGCTCAATCAGTGGCACTCGTGATCAAAGCTATTGCGTTTGATGTGTGGCTTCCCAGTTTCAGAGCTAACTAAGAATGTAATCGTCTCTGATGCTTGACTGTATGTCCCATGCTCTTCCACTTTTAGGTGATCGAACCAAAGTACCCATGGTACATGGGTACTGATTGATTAGTTAATTAGATCGCTGTCCAAGCACAGGCTCTGTTGAATAAACTGACCACCATCATACCAATCTTCAGCATGCGCCTTGTACCTTCAAGGTGCAAACTCATCCCTCAGAACATTCAATGCTTGAACATGCCGCCTGCTACTTAAGGTGATGCGCAGTAGGTTGTGAACGTCTCGTTGGTTGTGTTAGCTATGACAGAACTGTCTGCTGAAGTCAGTGCACGAATATCAGTGGCCCGAATGAATTTTGCCAACTTGCATCACTTGTAGCGTCAAGAAGGTATATCACTGGGCCACGACCCTCCCTCCCTCACCCACTCTTTTCTTTTCACTTAAGGTATTTGAGTATAATAAAGTGAACTTGGTTGTACAACAGTGAAGTATGAGTGTCAACAATGGTGCTGCTGTCTCTGATGATGATGGCGGTGTTGGGAGTGCGGTAGTTCATATGGGTAGACAGGATTTAATCAGTGTATGGTCGTTGGTTTGTTGAACGAAAAAAATCAAACTGTTCAGCTGTAGCACCCTTTCGGTGCCCAGCTGTCATGCCAACGGGAGGAGGCACGAGGGCGTTATTAAGGAGCGGATGGATGATAGCGGTGCATCGGTGGTCTACTGCCACCGCTATCCAGACTTCTTATTCATATATTTGCAAAGTCCTCCTGATTTGAATGACGACCACCCATTGAAAGGCCACAACTAAGTGAGCTGATTCCTATGAATAATCCTCTCATACTTTATATTAGTAATCAATTGTGCTCTGTATGATTTTGTTTCAGGACCTTCCTTGGTATCGATGACGAGTCCTGTGGTAATGCTGTAGCCTGACAATCCTATTAGTTCTAGGGGCCGAGTTATGTGTTGAAATATACACTCTCCGGGCACACGAAGTCAGTATCATCAGTGAAATTCAGTGAGAACGGCCAGTGGCTTGCTAGTTCCTGTAAGTTTCACCTGTTTCAACCCTCGATGTAATCCCACTGCAGCAGCGGACAAGCTCATAAAGATATGGAATGCTTATGATGGAAATTTTGAGAAATCCATCAGTGGACACAAATTGGTAATACGTTCGCAACTAAAAAGATGTTTGTGAAAACCTACCATCTGTTTAGGGAATATCTGACGTTTCATGGTCATACGATTCACGGTTCCTGTGCAGTTCATCGGATGACAAAACTCTGAAGTTGTGGGATCTGGGCACAGGGAAGTGCCTGAAGACCCTCAAGGGGCATAGCAACTACGTGTTTTGTTGTAACTTTAATCCACAGTCCAATCTGATAGTTTCCGGTTCGGTACGTCTCTGTTGTGCTGCCTTCACACTTTACAATGTACAGTTTGACGAGAGCGTAAAACTGTGGGATGTGAAAACGGGCCGGTGTATACGCACTTTACCTGCCCACTCAGACCCAGTTACTGCTGTAAGGTGACGATTTTACGTTGCTAATGCTTTCTCAGGTACATTTCAACCGTGATGGCGCACTAATTGCTTCTAGTAGTTATGATGGACTTTGGTGAGTTGTGCGCAAGTTTTAATGTTTCACACTCGTTTAGCCGAATTTGGGATACTGGATCTGGACAGTGTCTAAAAACTCTTATCGGTCAGTTAATGTGATGACATTAACATCATTCCCTTATCTAGATGACGACAACCCTCCGGTATCATTTGTGAAGTTTTCTCCGAACGGAAAATATATTCTCGCCGCCACATTAGATAGGTAATCGCGATAAACTCATGGTAATGATATGCTACTTGTAGCTGCCTTAAGCTTTGGGATTACAGTAAGGGAAGGTGCCTTAAAGTTTACAGTGGTCACAAAAACGAAAAATACTGCATCTTCGCTAACTTCTCTGTCACCGGAGGGAAGGTAAGTTCTTCCTGTTTTATATGCTGATCCGTCCAAGTGGATTGTTGCAGGGTCTGAAGACAATATGGTATATCTGTGGGACTTGCAGACGAAAGAAGTGGTTCAAAAGCTCGAAGGTCATACTGGTACTTCAGTGGTCTTGCTTTACACCTGTTTTCACCTTCAGATGTTGTTCTCTGCACGGCTTGCCATCCGCAAATGAATATGATTGCGTCGGCCTCGTTGGAGGGAGACAAAACCATCAAATTGTGGACGAGTGACAGTTGACATTCTGTATATAATATATGTTCTATCCATACATTCTTGTACCATTTTGACTTTTTTCTCGATGACGTGGTGGCTGAGAAATCCGGCTCTGAAATGCGACCGGTATCTAGTTTTGCTAACAGTGGCATTGCCGTTGAACAGGGCACAAAATATGACGTTGATATAGCTGTTCAGATATACTTTGCTGTATCCTATCAGTGGTTAAAGCGCGAACTTACTGACCGGAAGGTCTGTGGTTCAGACCCAACATCTCGACTGCTCCTGCCTAGGCTTGGGCAACCTAACAGTATTTTAGCCTTCGTATTTCCTTCTAGCGGCATTGCAAATGTGCACCAAAGGGGAGTTATGGCTGATAAAATATTCTTGTTTTGCAATTTGCCCAGGTAGGGCTGTGCTTCTAAATCTTCAGAGCATACACTCCGGGTCTTCATCTCTCGTTGGTGGCAGCCTTAGCAGGCTAAGGACACCGGTTAATGGACCAGCAGATCATGGTATTAATTGCTGCTTCTGTGTCCACACCATGCCTAATCTACAGCATGTGGTGTCGACTTGTTGGAGTGATCTTTGTTAGACACAAGCGCAGTTGACTGACTCAAGTCTTCACTCAGACCGATTCGCTTTGCTGATATTTGGCGACCTATGTAATGGTGAATGATATGAGATTTGGTGGATGGATGTCGAAATACTTCAGCTGAGATCCAGTTGCAGCACAGTGTTTGTGCTGAGTAACGGATAGCCGGTGCTCCTCTAATTTACTGATATCATTCTATGGTGTCAGGTTCAGAAACATAATTTCTATCGAAGGATGGGATGTCCTTAACCTTAGATGCCGCGTTTTCTCGCAGAAGCCAGTCGGAACCTGCGAGCGATACGTTTCGTCCAGGTTAGTGCCTCCCAACCGGGTTCACTTATTGTTTTAGAGGTTCACTGACCAGTGGATGAAGCCCCAATAGCGAATCAAACAAATGACTTCAAATCAGGTAGTTTTCTGGGTCATTGGCTGATAATTCGCAAATTAACGCTTTCCGCGTGTGCCCGTGCAGAACGATGGAGTTCCAAGTACATCAGGTGCCGGGCCATGTAAGCAAACACATTCTTGCCTTTACCAACCAAAAGCATGGATCCTTAGGGAGAAGTACCGTTTTGCTTTGGCGCAACTTCGGTGCATGGTTACTATAATACTTTAACCATGCTTAGTCAGCAGAGGTGTTCCAAACCGGTGCTCGCATCTCGAGCAATGCCCTCAACAGAATGGTGAACACTCGGCCTAAACCTTGCCTCTACGATAAAATAACTTACGTAGTCAATCAGTTTGAGTACTGTGTTTGCCACATTGATGAGTTTTTTGGAATGAATACCACATTTCCGAGTACAGTTTGCAGAACTTTTCAAATGAGGAATAGCACCAACTATTTTAGTAGTACCCTCACTCATTAACTTCAACGACCCTTTTTGCCAGCTGGTGAGCCTGGTAACTTTGGTAAAGAGTTAATTCGCTTGAAAGTTGGCCACACATCTATCTAAACATCAGTGTGCAACTTTGTTTGGTATACATATTTTATCCGTGTAGGCAATCAGGTGATTAATGTCTGAGGGGTCCATATTGTTCCAAACTATATGGTTTGTTCGTGTTACTACACTGCATCACGACTATCTTACACTGGAGAATGTCAATTCTCAGTTATCGTCACTAAGTCACAACTGAAAAGCTACAAAGAGAGCCTTGAATGGAGAATATTTGTGCCCTTGTAAGAAGCCGATAGAATGCGGAGCTGCCATTGAATACGAACGAATCGCAACAGCATAAACTTTCGGAAATTAAGTGTGATCCTGGGCTTTTATGGCGCGCCATTTGAACAGTGGGGGAGTGCGGACGAGTAAACTAATAAATTCAAGCACGTCAGTTAACTAGAAACATATTTTAAACCAAGAAAGGCCCAGACTACTCAAAGTTCGCGCCAGTAGCATGCACATCACGCCCGTAGACCTGTATACTCGAGTGGTTATTTTACTCCATTTTAATCTTGTAACCACTCCAGTAGTTATTCCATATCTAATGTCACATTGCTAACCTACAGTGAATAGCGTCTGAGACATTGAATGGTCCCGATTAGTGATTAATTCGTTCAGCTGTGGTACCTGTTCGATATGTAGTTACCCGAAGGACCAGCAGGGTTGACGCAATACCAGGCCTAGGCGAGGGCGACCGGAAGGCTAGCAGTGGTTTCGGAACGTGAACTTTCCGATCAGTTTCTCCTACCATGAACACCGAATGAGCGCGACCTCACAAGCTATGTATGCGGTGAGTTGTTAAGGGCTGACGGTTGAACAGAATCAGAGTCGTCGAATCCAGTGTTGGGTATTGCCTGCATCAATGTGATAATCATAGATGTTCTAGAAATCTGAAATAAAGTCCCCTAATTCTAACTCACTGTGATTATAATACATCCAAACAGGTGTAATCAGAAGTCTGAATTAACAGACAAAATATTAGTTTATCAAAGAAATACAGTCTGAAGACGAATAGGGACGCAATCAACGGGAAGCAGTTCAAAAATACGTAAACTACGAACTTTCACAACCGGATCAGATCTGTGTTTTCTGCAGATTCAATTTGAATGCGTCCATTTGCAAGCAGTCGTTCTGGATCACCCTCCGCGACAATTTGGCCAGAGTCCATAACGAGCACCCGCGAACACAGGCGTTTCACAGAGGATAGGCGATGAGCAATCAACAGCAAAGTTGTTCCCTCAAATTCGCGATCAAGTACATCCTGTTAGTATGCATATAGAAAACCTTATTCTTTATCCGGTACTGAATCCCAAAAGACAAACGCCGTTAAACGAAGCTAATTTTGTGCCTGTTGCACCATTCAAACTACAAACCCACTGAAAAGATACTGTCGACGGACCGAACAAGGTCCGACTCTATTCGATGAGTGAGGTGTTACAAAGATAGCGAAAAACGCTGTCTTCTCTGTTTGGATATGACAGCACAGAATTACGACTGATAAACACAGCCATTCAATATGAAGATTGTAAAAGCTGGTAACTGAATTGCCAGAAATTGTCGTCGGAAGTAAGAAGCGGTTGGAATGATTCCTGACATGATTACGAAAGGTACGCTGTTTAGGATAACCAAAATTAGACAGAATGCAACCGAGGAGGGAATTTTCAGCCGTTTTTTGGGACAACAGTCTCATGTCCGTCTGCATCAGGAATGACGGCTACGGAGATTGTCATTGTGCGTTAGGAGTCTTATGAATCACCCAGAACTATTTCGGTTGGTGCCAGATTGGACGAATATATTTTGGTGACTGAGCTGTTAATGCCTCAAGAGCTAATAGGCGCAGAAATTCTTCCATGGAATGACAGGGTTAACAGTGCGGCGCCACAATGAGATGATGAAGTTGAAAATGGCATCGAGAAACATGAATAAGTTCCAGATGAGTTGACTGCTCTCCGGCCCACTTTAGAAAAAAACTTCATATTTTTATCTTGACAGTTTACGAAAACCGATATTCTTGTGCCAAAGTGTCATGAAAGGAATATAGTAAAAAGGAAAACCCAACTGTGTGACTACATACAAGCGATTTCTCAAGACAACCTTCCAAGTAGCAATTGCTTCCCATCACATCGTTCTAAACATTGAACTTGATGACCATCAAAAGTTTCTGAAAGTATTCTATTATGTTTAACTTTTCCGAAACCTTAATCGGTTCACTGCAACGAAGATGTACCCTTCATAGCAGTAACTATAAGGACGATGAAAATTTCGGACAACCCGCTAACGGCTTCGCCCTTCTTGAGGCTCGTTGGATAGGCCTAGTTTCAGTATTTTCATTAACCTTAGTTCTAAGTTGAACACTGAACGGAACGTAGGTGGCAACAACACTCATTTGCAAAGTAGCTTGGTTATGATGGAAGACTCAACTAAATCTCAGCTAAAATCTGATTATTCATCGGCTGGCAGTTGATCTACGAGCTTGGCAACTGGTACGCAAATTGTTCGTCACCATGCGAGGAAACATCATCAGTGAGTGTTTGAGCGGGTAATTTCCCCAATTCTGTTTGTATTTATAGTCTTATAAGGTGCAAAATATCTGTAACGGGTTTGGTTATCCAGGGATTAACTAGTACGCAAATATTTTTGGTCTGTTCGGAATCTGTGCTGCGTTGCGGTCTGGTCATCTTGCACCTGGTCGGTTCATTGAATACTTCCACTTCAGTAGTTCTTTATTCCGTTTGTTTTCGCCGTTGAGGTATTCTTTTCTGGATCCAGATCGGCTCCTAAATACCCTTCTGTGTGATACTACTTCCATGTCTTACTCTGCTAGGTCTCCCGGATTATCGATCAATATTCGGCTCGGGTGTGTTCGACTAATCGGTGGGTTTTTCTAATCCTCTTGATAGCTGTAATGGTCTTCTCTCTTGCTTCTTGTTCACCTTTGAGCTTCCGAAGTTAGGCACCACGCTTCCATGAATTCGCTATCGTTCTTTGTTCTTGCTTGGTTTAGTATATGGACCTTGTTCCAGCTGAATCCGTGTTCTTCCACATCTTTGTGTGTATGCCACTTGGCGCAAGTTTCTTGTTCATAGCTTTCTTCCTGTTTGTCCAAGGTGTTTGGCATGGAACGTGCATTGGATTTTGTGTACAATGGTGCTTCTGATCCCAGTTTTTACTTTGGATCCGATACTACTTTCCAAAGTGTGTTCATCGGATTGTATCCAAGCGATCTGACGCTCTATTAAATTTTTTAAGATTTATTTCAGTAATGTCTCTAATGTCTGTTGAGTTGAATGATCTCCAACCGATGATCCCCGGATAGTCATTTCTCTGGGAGATTTGTTTACGGATTTTATTCTTTAGCTTAGGATTCCGTGGCGTTGCGATGTGTCTCAAAGCAGCTGTGCCTGTGGCAGCTCAGATGACTACGATGGTGGCTTACGTTCTGATCTTTGTGATTCAATTTCATGCAGACCTCAGTTTGTAGTTGTTGATGTGTCAGTCTGGTGATAAGTACGTCAAAGAACCCCAGTTCCCCGTTATTCTCTACCTCCACTGTAAATCTAATGTCGCCGAATAAAGGTGTTCCATAATTCATTTGTTCGCCGTAATACACTGCTTTTCCATTCACTGCTAGTCGATAGCTCCACCGCAGTTTACTTTGCGGAATTGGAGTCCACAGATATGAACAATGAGTTCACACAGATTAATACCATTGTTTCGTCCTCCTCTATTTTCACTTCTTCCAGTTTGTTCAAATGTTGTTTTGCATTGCTGTCAGAGTACTGAGATCCACTGCTAAGATAAGTCAACCTTTCCAGTTCATTTAGAAGAAGTCCCGGGGAATGATTCAATCTCAGCAGTTGCCTACCAGCAACCATTACCGGTGTATTATTGTCAATGATGAGGGACGCAATAGATCGTATTGGTATGGTTTCTTTGTGCATCTCCGGGTGTCCGAAGGAGCGTTAAACATGGTGCAGCTACTGAATCCTATTTATGAGCGCTACAAACACGAGCAGAAGTGGAGGAACTCTCCACCCAACCGTGCACTGACGATGCCTCCTCGCATGGGGGACGAAAAGTTTACGAACCAAGATCGGTGAACAGATTAAATGCCACCTGAACAACAGTCAGTAAACTACCTAGACTACCTATGTTTAGACATATTGCCTCAGCTGAATCTCGTGTTTGTAACATTCTTCAACTGAAGATAAAGCGCATAGTCCGCCTCATGATTCGGTAGGAACGACGTTCAGGATATCAAAATAGTGCTATTTGAAAAAAATGCTTCGATATATCTTGAATATCATACCAGATGAAATATGTGGTAGCCTACGGGCGGTACACCGGAGGTTACTTTTAACTTCACTTTAGTCTCCCGCGAGTGTTTGTCGCCACAGAGTTTTCTCTCTACTTTTCTTCAGGCTACCAGCTGCATCGCAACGGGCATTGGCAAACAAATTCTTAAAACATACATGAATAGCTTCCTCCGATTTGTAGTCTACAGCAGCTGTGGCTTCATCCAAGCATATAATTTGGGGTCGTGGTTGACGAAGCAAAGCACGAGCCAGACAGATCAGCTGCCGTTGACCAGCAGATATATCTCGCCCCGCTTCTCCGACATCTCTCTCCAGCCAAGTATTCGCCTCTTCAACGGTTGTAGCCAGCTGGCAATTAAAAAGGACTTGGTGTAGCACTGCATTTGGAATAATCCTGGAACGATAGGACAAGACAAAAGAAACTCCTCACAGTGAAGTTGTAAGAGGGGCATGTATCAAGTTTTCAACTCTGTAACATGTCATTTGTGAAGCTTACCAAAATTGCCACAAAAGACATTTACCGGAAAGTACAGATAGTCGTTGATTCGTGTTCTAAGTTCGGTATTCTAGCTACAAATGGTCCAACATCAATCAAAGTGACTTCATCAGGGCTAAGTCGCTAAAAAACCGAGGGTAGTGATTGGCACAGCTATCAGTTACTGCGAGTGTGTGACAATATCAGTGAAGTACTTTTGAGATTCGTACCGATTCCATTGTCATTGGACCGGTGGCGATCAGTGTTTTTGTTGTAGACCAGCAAGGGACAATTATTCAAATTACGTAAACTGGCCCCTATAAGCACAACACTTCAAAGATTTTCCAAGTGTATATTCTTTTGAGGTTAGTGGACAGTGTGGGTTCGGATGGGTATTCCCGGATTACATTATGGTCTGTTTTCATTACATTCTGCTGATTCGTCGCACATTTTTTCACGACACGACTCAGTTGCGTTCCTATGTAAAAGCTATTGTCTCCAATGGATGACTAAGCCTCCTATAGCCAGCAGTAAAACGTAGATGTAGTCATAAGCACTGGTGTTAGATTGGAGTGCTCCGTCAATTGATTTGTAACCGGTAAACAAAAATGTGGCCACTGGAGCCATTTAAACCACTATCTGAGGTTCAAAGCAGAGGGTGATTATGAGTTGTCTAACGGAGAATGACAAATGTACGGCGTTTATTCGTCCTGACGTTTGGACAATCTTCTCTATGTGCTGACGCGGTTTCTCAGGTCAATCCACAGCAAACAAAGCACTGGACTCAGGTTTCACTTTTATCAGAATTAGGCCACAGTGGGATTTGAACTCTGTAGATCTGGCATGCTATGCAGGCGCACCATTCCTCCTCCGCTAGTTCAAACTGAGTCATTAAACAATATCACGACTTCTAACATACCGGGAATGTACTATAGCCCAGAAAAGGCTGCACATGAGGAGTTTCGTAAATCAGAATACAACGGAAAACCCTCTTCGAGATAAGATAAGAGTACACTCAGGCTGTACACAAGGCAAGGGTGTAACAATCACCTACCCTTCGGGATCCAGATTATCCCGAAGTGTCCCAGAAAAAAGAAACGGCTCTTGACAAATAGACAGAATTCGAGAGCGGAGTACGGATAGTGGTACCGTACGGATATCCACACCGTCCACATATACCTGAAATCAAAAAGGGACGAAAACATTATAGGTAACATTAAAGGGTTGAAAATACACCATAACGAACGTTGTTTAATAAAATGCCAAATGAATCACAGACGGGGTGGAGGATCGGATTGTCTAGGGTCAAGTCGTGATTCTGGGTCACGAAGATTAATCGATTAGCCTTGTGTGATCAATGACAACGGGATCGAACCGGTTAGGCCATGGTAAGCAAGGAACTTGGATCAGATGCTTCCGAACTCACAATTCTGATAGCGATTGCCTCTGCAGTAGATCCAAGGTTTGGATGCTGGTTACTACGTAAGTTGTGACTGTCAGAATTTACAGGCTTGATTTTTGCGTTCCAAGGCGTCCCACTCAAGTTCACTGCTTAACATGGCCTAACCAGTTCGATCCCGTTGTCATTGATCAGGGGGTATCACAAGGCCAACCGATCAACTTTGGTGACCCAGATTCACTACTAGACCCCAGGCACCCCGATCACATGTCTGATACTTGTGTAACGGTGATACTACTGATCGGGAGGCACGGGAGTAGTATGTGTTGTTCGTAGAATTCCGCTTTGCGTCGACTGAAAAAGGGAATTCTGTTGCGGAATTCGTGGGGACACTTTGTAACATTTGCTTGGTTTTGACCGACGAATGAGTGGAGGCGACGAATCTCTACGAAGACTCGTTCGGGAGAAGATCTGTGTCCAGTTTTTGTAACTAAGATGCAGATTAGAGTTTTGCTTCCCTGTCTGTAACCGGTCAGTTGGCATTTCCGAATAAATAACTCCGCAGCGAGGCCTCCTTCCTTTCATTTGGTGCCGTGACCAGGATAAGGATGAAGATCCCATGGCCGCAACCCTTTGAGGATGGGATGATACACCTGAAGAGCGGCCGAGCAGACCCGCTGCCGAAGCCGACCTGACGGGGGTAAACGAAAATCGACGGCATGCGAACGAGCTTTAAGCGGGGGAGGTGTGTAACGGTGATACTACTGATCGGGAGGCACGCGAGTAGTATGTATTGTTCGTAGAATTTCGCTTTGCGTCGACTGAAAAATGGAATTCTGTTGCGGAATTCGTGGGGACACTTTGTAACATTTGCTTGGTTTTGACCGACGAATGAGTGGAGGCGACGAATCTCTACGAAGACTCGTTCGGGAGAAGATCTGTGTCCAGTTTTTGTAACTAAGATGCAGATTAGAGTTTTGCTTCCCTGTCTGTAACCGGTCAGTTGGCATTTCCGAATAAATAACTCCGCAGCGAGGCCTCCTTCCTTTCATTTGGTGCCGTGACCAGGATAAGGATGAAGATCCCATGGCCGCAACCCTTTGAGGATGGGGATGTTCGGAGCTTCCTGGAGGACTTTGAGGAAGTTGCGGAGGCTGCCGGGCTGGAGACCGACCGGGGTAAGTTGGCAGCGCTGAAGACCCTCCTCAAGGGCCGGGCGAAGGCGGCCCTGCATGTGGCCAGAAGAGGCCCTCAGAAGATGGACTGGAAGTCCTTGAGCGGAGTTCGACACGCCGGCCGACCGCCAGGAGGCTATGAGGCGGTTCAAGACGGCCAGGATGGCACCCGGATCTGACCCGACCGTGTTCTTCGCCGGCCTGCAGCAGTTGTTGGATCGCGCTTTGCCGACGCTGGACGGAGTGTCGCGACACCAGTTGCTGTCGGATCAGTTCGTCGAAGGTGTGCAGCCCGCGCTTGGTGCCCAGTTGCGGTTGGCACGAGCAACTGGCCAGTTGAGTGTGGAGGAGCTGGTGCGTCTGGCCCGGGAGCTGCCCGAGGAACCACTGGCCACGTTGCAGTCGCAGGAGAACAGGGATGCTGCATCAGTGGAGGAACTGCAGACCAGGGTGGACCAACTCACCGAACAGCTGGCGGCCGTGAAGACGGAATCGCGGAGGCACACTCGAACCAGCCGGTGCTACATGTGTGGCAGGCCTGGCCACTGGAAGAATCAGTGTCCCCGTAACCGATCGCTTGTACACAATAAAACTTTAGAGTACTCCTCTTTTCCTGGGTGGGTCGCGATTAGCGCACTGACACAAGCTACCGTACAAGCCATTGTCGAGGTAGACGGGAAAAAGGAGTTATGTTTGATTGATACCGGAGCAGGCGTATCGCTGAGGCAAAGAGGGAACCAAGCTGAACACAGACCGTGCGCGCTAGCCGTGAGAGCTGTTGGCGGATATCGATTGAAGATTGACGGACTGTCAACGCACTCGATACGCCTAGGCGACAAGTCCGTGCAGCACGCGTTCCTGATCAGCCCAGACGTAGAGCAGACAATATTGGGAGCTGATTTTCTCAAGGGCACAGATGCCGTGATTGACCTAAAGCAGGGAAGGCTGGTGACAAAGTATGGCGCAATCAAGCTTGAAGGTTATCCAGGCACTGTCGTGAGGGAGCTGTGTGTCCGAAAACTTCCGTCTTGTAATGTATCGTCAATACGGGCCGTGGTTGAGGAATATTCCGAACTGTTTACGGGCGATGAGGATCCGTTTGGCTTCTGCCCGTGGATTGAACACGAAATTCCTCTGTCATCAGAACGCTTTCGACCTTATGGCCCCCGTCCGTTGCCGCTCCATCTACGGGAGGAGGTCCATAGACAGATTCAGGAGATGTTGAAGAATGGTATAATCGAAGAAGCCAACAGTGCGTACAATTCCCCAGTTGTGCTTGTAAGGAAGACGAACGGAAAATACAGGTTTTGCGTGGATTTCCGGCGCTTGAATGAACTGACCGTAAATCGGGTTGTGGCTGTGCCTTCGGTTGCAGAGATTTTCGATTCCCTCCAGCACTCCCGATACTTTACTGTGTTCGACTTGCGTTCCGGATATTGGCAACTACCTATCAAGGAGGAGGACCGGGAGAAAACGGCGTTTACGGTTGGGGACATCCAATATCAATTTAGACGAATGCCGTTTGGTTTGTCCGGGGCACCATTCACATTCCGGCGCTTGATGCTTCGTGTAACCAAGGGACTCCAGAATGTTGCCGTGTACGGAGACGATATCGTTGTGTACAGCAATTCGGAACCAGAGCACGTAGTTCACTTGAAGGCTGTGTTGGAGCGGATCCGGGAAGCTGGCCTGCGGATAAATGAAGCCAAGACACAGCTCGCTCGGAGTTCGGTGACACTGCTGGGGCATAAAGTGGGTGAGGGAGAAGTTAGCCCACTGCCCGAAAAATTAGCAAAGATCAAGGATTGTGCTGTTCCCAATTCAAAGCGGTCTCTACGGCAGTTTCTTGGACGAGCAGCATACTACAGCCGGTTCGTTAAGGATTTCAACAAGATCGCTGCGCCACTGTACGATTTGCTCGGTCAAAATCGGAAATTCGAATGGACCGGAGAAGCACATGAAGCTTTTGAGCGTGTCAAAGCGCGGATGTCGGATCAGCAACTGACCCTCAAACTTCCCAGGGTCGGAGAGATGTTCATTGTTGCAACGGACGCCAGTGATCGCGGTATCGGCGCAGTCCTAAAGCAGAGGAATGGAGTTATCGAATATGCCAGTCGCGTCCTGACTAACGCTGAACAGAAGTACTCCACCATTGAGAAGGAATGTTTAGCGATCGTCTGGGCCCTGGATAAGTGGAGACCATATCTGCTTGGGCAAAGGTTTCATGTCGAAACCGATCACAAACCCCTGGAGTGGATCAGGACCACCAGAGATCCTCGCGGGAAGCTCGCACGCTGGGCACTCCGGTTGCAAGAGTACGACTTCACAATCCAGCACGTGCCCGGGAAGGAGAACCACTTGGCTGATTGGCTGTCAAGGCCAGAGGCTGAAGATGAGGTCCCCAAGATCATGATTGGAGCCAATGGCCTCGTCGTCGAACTGGATCCCGGAAAGTTGGTGCAACTCCAACGGCAGGATCCGGTGTTACAAAAGGTTGCAGCCGCCTTGTTGGATGGAAGGAACATTGAGAACGGAGAGGGAGACAAGGAATTAGAAGCGTTCCAGAGTCACTTTGATCGGCTGAGGCTGAATGAAGCTGGCATAATTTCCTGGAACGCCACTGATTCAGATGTTGTGCTGCCCGTGATACCTCGCGTCTTGAGACGGAATCTCATCGTTGAATGCCATGAGATGGCACATACAGGGTGCACCAAGACATACGACCTACTTCGGCAGAGGGCCTACTGGCCCGGGATGAGAAGTGAGGTGATGGATTATGTGGTGTCCTGTAAGCGTTGTCAACTAATGAAAGCGGATACGACAGGGGCAACCCATCCCATGGAACCCATTCCTGTCTCAGAAATCGGCGAGTTGTGGTCAGTTGACGTCATGGGCCCCTTTCCGGTGACAACCAGTGGGAACCAATACATCGTGATGATGACAGAACACCTGTCGCGATGGATTGAGGCGGCAGCCGTGCCGAATCAGCGGGCGACGACGATCAGCGGAGTGGTAATGCATCACATTGTGGCCAACCATGGGGTGCCAAAAATGATCCTAACCGATCAGGGGCCTTGCTTCGAGAGCGAAGAGTTTCGTAATTGCTTGCAGAAGCTGGGTATCAGACGGCTAAGGACGGCACCATACCACCCGCAAACAAATGGCCTGACCGAACGTAACAACCGAACGATCAAGGAGTGGCTTGCGGCCAAAGGAGGTGACTGGGAAATGAACTTGCCAATGGTGTTGTTAGCTCATCGTGCTTCCACGCAGTCAACCACAGGCAAGTCCCCGTTTATGTTAATGTACGGTCGACATCCGCGCCTTCCGGTTGATCAGGAAATTGGGTTGTGGCCGGCAACACGCTTGTCTCCGGAGGAGCTAGAGGAAGAAAGAAAGAAAGCTCGAGAAAATTTGACCGCCGTTCAGGAAAGGGCTAGGCAGAAAACGGCAAGTAGAAAGGTCCGAACGTTCCCCATAGGCACGAAGGTCAAGTGGAAGGATCACCAGAATCCTGGAAGGAGTGGACTGGGGTCGCGGAAGCTAGGCAGCCGATGGCAAGGGCCGTTTGTAGTCACCGACCGCCGGGGGAACGTCTATACCATTCAAGATGGTCGGGGATCGAAAGTAGTGAATGGGACGCAGCTTCGCAAGTGGCATGATACACCTGAAGAGCGGCCGAATAGACCCGCTGCCGAAGCCGACCTGACGGAGGGAAATGAAAATCGACGGCATGCGAACGAGCTTTAAGGGGTGGAGGTGTGTAACGGTGATACTACTGATCGGGAGGCACGCGAGTAGTATGTATTGTTCGTAGAATTTCGCTTTGCGTCGACTGAAAAATGGAATTCTGTTGCGGAATTCGTGGGGACACTTTGTAACATTTGCTTGGTTTTGACCGACGAATGAGTGGAGGCGACGAATCTCTACGAAGACTCGTTCGGGAGAAGATCTGTGTCCAGTTTTTGTAACTAAGATGCAGATTAGAGTTTTGCTTCCCTGTTCAATGGTCTGTAACCTGTTAGTTGGCATTTCTGAATAAATAACTCCGCAGCGAAGGCCTTCTTCCTTTCACTTGTAACATCTAATTTGACACCTTTTTCTATCGTGAACATCACTATAGTGAGTGGGCTAGATTCACCTATTTATATGCAAGAGACTAATGACGGGAAGCCGAAAAATATTGCTTCCGTTGATGTATTTCAGTTAGTCATGTGCAACAACACATCTGGCAACTGTTCACAAAAGTGAGAATAGCTGCTTTTACAAAGTTCGAACTTCAAGGTCGAAGTGAGTAGGTCTCGTGTCCAGCTAGAGCGCATGCATTCGCATTTACACAAAATGGGTTCCGCGGAAAGGATTACTTGATGAAACTACATCAAAGACCTCAAGTCTTGGAAAAAAGCAAGAAAGTGTTAGTAAGTCCTCCCAAGGAAAACGGTCAAATAGGATGCGGGGGCGAGACAGCTCAGTGGTTAGAGGGCGAATTTACGAACGGAAGGAAAGTGTTAGTAAGTCCTCCCAAGGAAAACGGTCAAATAGGATGCGGGGGCGAGACAGCTCAGTGGTTAGAGTGCGAATTTACCGAACGGAAGGTCCATGCCTCTCGACTTTTCCTGTCTAGGCTTGAGCAACCTGGAAGTATCTTATCCCTTGTGCTTCTGGTGTCATGGCAGCTAGGTATCTAGGGGGTGCTACAGCTGAACGATTTAGATACATCCTATCCATATGCTTCAGTATTCATAAAAACATAAAGGGCTGCAGGTACGTGAGTGAGCTGACATAAATACTGACATTCCCACTGGCTCCAATGAATCCACGCTGTGTAGCAATGTGACTGTTCGTATGGGGACCAGGAAGGTGCTCAACCAATCGCATAAGTACTCGCAGAAGACTGCTTTTGCCCGAGCCCGTGCGGCCCACAATACCAAGTCGTTCACCCGATTGGACTACGAAACTGACATCCTTCAGAGCTTGGATCTTAGATTGTTCGGATCGTTGCATGAGTTTCCGATACACCAAAGAGACTCCAACAAACTCCACACGACCCTCAGATGGCCACTGGGTAAGAGAAAATCGAGTGGGTGGATTCACAGCAGGGAGTGTTGAACATCTTACTCCACGTCTGCGGTGTGCGGGCACGGGAGCCTGAACACGTAAAAAAGAGGTAGAATAAGGAAAGAGTTAGTGTGAATCCTCGAAGATGTATGACAGGTTTCCCGAAGCAAAGAAAATATTTTTGAGTTGTGAATTCTAAGTACAGAAAGCGAGCAATGTGACAGCTCGTCGAGCTAACCGGCTAACGAGTGATGTTTGTAGCTCAATGACGTACAGTTCGAATTCTGTGTGATTTAACACTTCATCAACAAAGCTACTATAGGGCTACCAGTGAATTAACAAGAGAAATGTGGAGGACATACCGTGACTGTGATCGGGATTGTAGGCGACTCTATCGGTGTATCGTCTGTCATTTCTTGGCATCGTTCCACTGCGATCAGATTTTTTTCGGTCTCTGTGGCGATAAACACGGTACCAGTCATTAGACCAGCAATATTCAGGGCATAGGCTGCAGATAGACCGGCCGCAGCCACCTATGAGACAAAACGATCAGGTGAAATAATGATAAGCTTGGAACAACGGCGAAAGTGATGAATCCGTTAAACGGTGTGCCAGCTTTACTATCATCGTTGAACTCGACCTAGCGTTTTTTATGCTGTAACCAAAATCCTGTTTGCAGTGACGATTTCTAGAATAGAATCCCTTTAGTATTTACCTTGATTCCTCACGCTCATTTGCGGACCAATTTGGTTTTGACGTGAGACACCTGGAAACCAGCTGAATCTCTCGTTTATATTCTTAGGCAACTGATTGTGCTGCGCTATACCGCCTGATTTTTCAGTTGGTACGACGACACATTGTATTTACGTAGTACACTACTCATTATGTTGTTGAAAACTCTTCGACAGCGTAACTACATAAACGGGAGATTTAGCTGGATTCCAGATGGGTCTCCTGTCAAAACCAAATTCGTAAGCAAATGAGTGTAGTTCGCTAATTTCGTGCACTTTGGGTTCAAGTAGGACATAAGGTTGACGGAAACTCAGGGACTGCGCCTACCTGATGAGCCCTAAGGGAGAAACTGGTCGTCGGCTATCGAAGTTTCCAGCAACCTTATGAGCAGTAAGTTACGTCCATGTATATTACTCTGTTTGTTATCGCACAAGGTATGGTTAACTTCGTGATGTCGTGAGAACAATGCACCAAGGAGAAGTGTACCTGAGTGAACCCAATGGTCCGGCCCGTCAAGGCGAGGACGACGACGCCAGCTACGACGCCCGTAGCAACTAGTTGCAGACGAATATTCAACCATGACCCGGCAGCCAAACTGGCCAACTCGGCTTGCAGCTGGCGACCCAAAAGATCTGCAGTTAATCGCCGGAAGCGAGCCTCCTGTCCATGTCCACGAATGACTGAAAGACCTGCAAGTGTGTCCGAGAAGTGAGCGTACACGGGCGAACGAGTCACACTAAAAATGAAAGGGAATACAAAAATTAAGCGAAAAAGTTGGCCGTACTTGAACACACAGCCACATCGGGATGGTGACGGGGTTACTTGGAGTAGAATACACACGTGCATATGTAATACAATCACGAAAAGCGAAACCCCCCAATCTGCGATGTATCACAGTCCCTCCAAAAACCGATCACTAGTGAGGGATAGTCTAACTGATCCGAGTTGAAGACATCGATTAGAAAACTCGACTCTGAGTAATTATACAATGAAACACTGAATCCACTGTCCCGTCTTATGAGACCACACATGCATAAAAACCACATGAATCCGCTCACCTATGCAAGCTGCCAATCTACAGAGCTGAAAGGACACCGCAAAGAAACTGTTTTTGCTTTGAGAAACTTCATCATATGAAATCCACTATACGGGGACAGTAATAATTACATCTGGAACTTCTCAAACACAATGTGATAAGCGATGCGTTCGTATCACGCCTTCAAATTAGGATCGTTTTTTTATAGCAAACATGCATATATACACTCATGATTTGATTGCCATTACAATCAGTTGGCAATCAGATAAGACCAGCGTATGGGTGTATGTTAAACCCTGTGTGCGTATACGCGTGATTGTATCCTTTGGCTAGGAGGTGCCTCTGTTTTTGTGCTTGGTGTGACCTCCAGCCACTGTGCCCATCATTGTGCGCAATAAGTCCAAACCGGATTGGCGGGATGTTGGCTCTATCACAATGGTTGAGGCAATTCGATTGTGTTGATCTCTAGTGCTTAGGAGCATGCTGGTTGAACGTGTGACTGGAATCCTGACTGGAGTATACGCGCACGACTGAAGTTGATTTGATGACCTGGCTCAAATGCGCGGAGCATAATGGCTGGACCAAGTTCAAGTTTTTGTTGAACTCAATCGGAATTCGTGGAGGAAGGTAAGATAGTGAACCCAAATAACACTTAGCTTATCCCGTAGTCAACCGATTGGAAAAATCGTAAAAAGGTTGCCCACGGCAACCAAAATGTCGGATTATAACGTCTCATTCCGTCACGCTGTTTTGACTCTAAACTTTCCATATCAGATCATATAGCTACTTCATTCTTATTGGGAGTCACCAGTAGTGCGTACCCCCAAGGGTATTCAATCACTCAAACTTCCGAATAGTAGTTGAAGCCTAAATCGTTCGGCCATGAGCTGCTGGCCAGCAGTGTGATTTACATGGACGTGAACGAAATATAGAACAATTCACCATTCAGTCATGGAATTCGTGTATCGATCGACCCGTAGAGTGGGGATTTCCCAGATGGTAGGCTTACGCGACGTGTGAATTGCCTTGTCTCCAAGCTACTTATAAATCGTTAGTATAAGATTTCGGAAACAGAAACTGACCCTCGACGAGTCAGCCAACATGTGATACGAATTCCGTGAGTTACATTCTTATCACACTGTCGATCAGTAGCTCGTAACCGAACAGTTTAGTCTTCAACTACCAGCCAAAAGGTTGCGAGTTTGAATCTCCCAGAAAGTTCGTGAGATGCACACTGCTGGTGGTACCCAGCAAGAGTGGGGCATCCGTACAATGCACCTCGACCTTTCAGCACAGACTGATTTCACGTGAAGAATGGGAGCTAGGATTGACAAAAACGCTAAATCTCCTCATACTATCAGCGTGTACGCTTCAATCACCACCCTTCAGCATACCATCAGAGGTAACGTGATTAATTAAAAAAGCTCGTTCAGAACACGAAGCATTTTATTCCTACTGAGCGAAGGAATCCAATGATATAAAAGATGGAGTGTGTGGGATTTACGGCAGATACTATTCTGGTGCATATATGTAAAAGAAAATTAGAAAACAATATGCTGAAGCGATTCGCTAATGATCCGCTTCCGGCTGAAGATACTTTGATGACATATTCATTATATCAGATAACGATGCAGACTTGAATGCGTGTTTTCAACTCAACTCGCTTAAATGTCAGTTCCTCTATGTCGTAGCAGACTCATAGGTGTCGTAGATTTTCGTATGCTCGTATAAGGAGAGGGAATTTCAGCAAACAACTCAACTAGCGAATAGAATGTAGCGAAAAGCACACAATAAACATATCCGGACTGGACACTGACAGCTCGAGAGCCTTGCCCCATCAAAACTGATTAGAATTCCCATCAGATGTCTCACTGAGAAGGCAATAAAGATCTGTTTTGGTGACTTTTTACCACTAGAACTCGAGTCCCTGAAACAAGTGTCTGCGCAGAGTGGCTACTCAGCACGTCTTATACAAAGAGCAATGTAACCTGTGAAGTTTACCCAGTACACAAGAAACATTTGTTAGTCCTCTACGTAAGGAAGAAACAATCCACCAACTTACTTCTGGTTGGCAGCTACTCACCCTCCACTTCAGTTCGTGATGGTGACCTAACTCTTTTGACATATTGAGCTTTGAACATGATTTCCTTTTTCTGGATGCTGTATTGAACTCTGCCATACGAGCTGCGACGGATTATTAGGGTATTCAATCGCGGAAAACAGGTTTAGTCCACCACACTGTTTTCTTCTAATCCTTCTACAGAAATACTCCACAGTTCGAAACAGTCCAGACTGTTTGAGTTTCTTTTGCATTCAGAGTTGTGGTTGATAGGGTCGACACAGATCCTGAGAACTTTTGCACTAGTGACTGGCTTAAAGGCCCTGGGAGGAGTGCTATTAGCCAACAAGGTGAACAGTTGTAGCTGAAAGTGACGAAAGTGCACTTGGCGCGACTTCCCTCAACAACTATTCACATAAAGTGGATTCAGGTATCCCTAGTGACACGGTTTTTTGTACAAAATTTACCGTTCCCGACATGCGAACGCAGCTGAACGAAGGTAGAAGCTGACGACAGAGTTTAGCAGCTTGTTTTTCAAATGAAACTTGATGATAGAACTGAAACTCAAGCACAGACCAGTGGTCATATGATGGCTTGGCATTCTGGTAACTAGCTGTGCAGTTGAGTCTGTTTGGAGATCACTTTGACGTGGGTGCGCTCTTCCCTAGTGGCATAATGTAACCGTTATTTGAACTTGGTTTCCCCTACTTTCGTACTCTGGTCGGTACTGGAGTGATCCATGTCTTTGACCTCTCTGGGTTTCAGTTCGTGATCTTTGTTGATCCGACTCCGAGAAGTTTCTTGGTTTGTCAACCCGATATTCGGCTCTCGCTGAGTATTCCGGTTGAAATATTGGTACTTTGCTCGTAGTGATTCGTAAACTGGATCTAGTTGGATGCGTCGGTTGATCAAGTCCATCGAGGGGTACAATGCTTCCGGAAATTCCCTTGTGCCTCGTGTCCCCGTATGCCAAGATTTTCGAGTTTTCCAGATTGAATTTGAGACCTCGGTCGTCCTGTGTGGATATGAAGGATAGAGGGTCTAGTCTCTTGACGGTCGTGTTGTGCTCCTTTATTAATGTGCATAATTTCCCGGCAGTTTGTTCAACGTGAAACCCGTTGCAGTTGATTTGATGCATCAAATCGTTCCTGTTGGTTTTCCTCCGGTCTTGAGACCGTTTTCCATAAAGTAGCATTGGGTTTGTGTGTAACGAGGATTCCTTTTCTAACTAATAATCTGGCTGCAAGTTCAGATGCATTCTTTATGTAAGGTAAAAACCACGCGTCCGGTCGCTTGTTCTTGCGGTTGCTGTTGTTGAGCTGTCTTCTTCAAGCTTCTTTTGATGCAATCCCTTGGATATCCATTGTTTTGGAATACTTTTGATAGATGGCATTCTTCGGTATTTCTCTTGAACGTAACTGTTCTTGTGGTTCACTGGATGATTGCTAGAGACCCATTCGCCATCCACCTTTACGTATCACTACGAGCACAGAACCAATATTTCAATCGGAATACTCGACGAGAGCCGAATATCGGATTAACGAACCAAGAAACGCCTTGGAGTGAGATCAGCAAAGATCACGAACTGGAAACTGGAGGGTCAAAGATACAGGTCACTCCAGCACCAACGAGAGGGCGAAAGTAGGGGAAAACAAGCCCGAAGTTCACGTGGTGACCGATCAATCAGGACACAGGTTAGCGGAGCAACCAATGAAACCAACCGACCGAACGACAAATCGTGACAGAAGGTAAGCCCCGACTAGTACAAACGCAACACTACTTGGCGTATAAATACCGACCCATCGCTACAATCCCTAACAACGCGCTCATGGTGTCACCTCGACTGATGGAACGTTTGCGGTAAAATTGTTTCGCTCAGCGAAGGCCATCTGCACTAGCTGGGCTACCGACATTCTCCTGAATAGCAGAAGGTCTAATGTCGCACCGAACTGCAGGTTGGTGGAAAAAGGGCATACTAGACGACAAACCTTACACTTGAATTGCTGCGGCTTATAAATGACGGTCGACAGAGAAATCTGTGAAGAACGCTAACCAGTTGCGGTCCAGTAAAGAACTCACTAGGTCACTTCCCTTGCAGTTAACGAAAACGAGCCTGAAGCACTAATTTGTTTCAGATAGACAGAATGCTGTGACATTTTTGTTTGGTAAAGCTGCTCATGAACCGTAATCTGAGATGAGTCGTGAACACTATTAGTCAACAGCAAGTTAGAGTGTGGGCAGCAAACTCGGAGAAACCGGTTTTTGCACGTGTATGTTAGCAGTAAAATTCGTTCATCTGCCAGTGATATTCTCTAGCGTTTTCATCCGGTGAGAAATGTGGTTTTTGGAGAAATCAGCTTGAAAAGTGGCTTCCAATAGAGAGAACGTCTTCGAGTCCAAAGGTTTATGAATGTGCCGAATTCCATTAGAGATATTCTTATCCAATCTAGAAAGAAAAGTGTGCTGACTGGAGAGATCGAGAGTAATTTATGACTCTGGTGTATCGCGCTAGTGAGGAGGAAAATGTCGCTGGTATTGCCAAGTGACTCAAGGAACAGGGCACTGTTTGACACACGGACAACAACCAAAGCATGTCTCGTTGTCCAGTCAATGGTAAAACTAAAATGCAGGGATGGGTGCATAAGAAAATTAAGTATAGAGATCTATGTCCTCAAAATCACTCGTAAGAGAAAAGGTTTTAAGATGAAGCCAAGAGTGCTCGAAGTGCGAGAACGTAGCTTAAAGTATTGGCATCTTATATAATCTGTGTTGGATAGTACATCTGCCATCCTGGGTGAAGACCTGTTACAATCAAACAGGAGAAATGAATTGGGGATGGATAATTTTGGTATATGCGACTAGCTGTGGATTAGTGAAGAGGCGGTTCGAGATGAAAACTGTTGTGGGTGGAACGCTGAGTAGAGGCGAAAACTGTAAAGTCAAGTATTACATATCAGCGAACCATAAAACGCAACGTGTGAACAAGCCGAAAGAACGATCAGGGACTAACATCGTAGGTAACCAAATTTCAAGAGACCTTTAGGCACTCTATAGAACACCGGGAATAAAAGTCAACTTAAGGTCCCTCGAATCTCTCAACTCAACGTGGCATCCAGCAGTTGCAGTACACCAATAGCTCAGAATAAACCCCGATGGAAGTAAAACAAACCTGACTCAACCAAATGACGACTGTTTTTTTTCGTCGTCGACCACCTACCTAGAGATCCTCTTCAGATCCCGTGCGGCTCCACGATAAGTGCGTTGAACTGACCAAAATATGAAGACCAGGGGAAGGAGAAGAAAGAACAGAAAAGGTAGTGAAATGCAAGCGATGATCACTACACCCAGAAGACCTGCCAGGTTGGCAAGCAAAATATTCAGAATGAACGGGAGCGAATCATCGATCGTGCCAACATCGGCGGAAAAACGATTCAGTATGCGACCTTGAGGGGTTCGATCAAAGTAGGAAACGCGTGCCTGTAAAAGAGAGGACGACGAAAAAGAGGTGTATCTCATCGCAACTAAATGCCTGTTACAACGACTAAAAGATGCAAAATAGATTTGCAATGGTAACAGAGGATAAATCCCAGGAATCTGACAACGAAGTCAGTTATGAAGTCCGTATTTGCCAGTGGCCAACTTTTTTGTTGCAATTAAAAATGTGAGGTGAACTGATAGAGTAGGGGACAATGTGAATATCCAAGTTTCAACGATTCAGACTAAGTAAATGGAGTAATTCACGATGCAATAAACACTGAAAAAATAATGTGAGGCCTCAACAGAAGGCATTCTCCTTACACACGGCAACTGTAGAAAACCTAGATACGCGGTTTAGCGATGGAAACAGAAACGCACAGTTCTCTTTCACTGTGCTGTCAATCTTCAAATTGCTTAGATTATGTATACCCCATCCAACCATTGGCATGTGTTGCCTTGAACACAGCGCAGACAGTCAACAAAGATATTCATGAGGGACATCTCTATTCCAGATGAAAGCAAGTTTTCAGATGTTCACCAGTTGCTGGTCCTAGGCTAATGACCGGAATAACTTGTGGTCATTCGCGTACTGTGTACATCAGGTAAAGCAGTGAAACCATGGATTTCCAAACAAGTTAATTGCGGAATTCATTGGAGTTGACACTGTTGATAGGGACTCGTGATTTCTTTCGCCAAAAGTTCTTTACAGTTATCTCCCCTGGTACCTAGCTATAGCACAACCCGAACAAAGAAAGGGCACTGAGATAGTGAACCTAGGCAAGATCGATCAAAATTCAGGGCATGAGTTCTGAACGCAACTGGCTAGCTAGCTGAAGTTCATGGTTACCAACCAATATGGTGATCATGATACACATTGAATTGATGATGGCGAAGGGTAGGAACATCCGAGTGCTCTAAAATAATAAGCTATTTGTGCTAGCTCTATAACTACGGTTGTAATCATCTTCCTGTCTTTAGAAAGGGTTATCTCAAGCTACCGTGCTTTTTGATATACCATAGTGGACGGAGAAGTAAACCAAGAACCGACAAAAAAGTTGTACTACCGTCAACAAGCCACAACTATGTTTTCCCGGTGGCCATTGATCAACCGTGAGACGAGCGCGCCGAGATCCGTTACGCACCTGATACAAGGCCACATAAAAATTAGAGGACATGGGTAGCAAAACGGCTAAAAACAGTAGTTTAACGAACCCTCACAGTGGTGCAACTGGTTGCGTCACGCTGTCTAGCCGTCACCCACCTGTAGAATCGTATCCAGGGCGCCTTCATGGATTGTGGCAGCGGCCGCTAGGCCTCCCAGAGCAAAAAGCACTGCTCGAAAGGTGGTGGCTATGACATGACCACCAACAATTCCTCCGTAAACGGATAGGTAGAAACCCTCGAACGAGTAGTTCTTAGCAGGAGTAAAATAATCCCAGATTTTCGGAACACTGCTTTGTGGCAATCGAATCACCTGCGAAAAGAACAACGAGTCCAGTCGCACCACCGAGACGTTTCGTAGACCAAAGTGATGACGGTGTGCTGGAGAGGAAGACACCTGAACCCAGTGAGATAACCACCAGTCAGAGGCGTTCCGCGAGGCTGGAAGGCGAGAAACAAACCACCATTAACCATGAGTCGCGCGGTAACCACTAAATTAGTACTGGTTAAAGGAGAAGGCTAACAAAGTAGCAAATAAGAAATAATTGGACGGAGTTACGTGATGTGGTTGACACGATATAGCCTACGTAATCCCGAAAGTTGTTTTTGGCATCAGATAGGGTGTGTACCAGGTCTTAAATAAGTACAAGAAAAATATAAGTAAAGCGATATTTTTGCGCTTATTGGGTAAGTAACATACCCAACAGAAGGTAACAGATGTGGGCGTACTGAGAAAGCGGCCTTACTCACTGGGACTGCTCGTCCTGCGAACCGGTAATGCAGAAGTGCTGGTCGAAACACTGAAGTGAAGGGACGTGGGTGACACTTTCACAACCTGAGGTTGCAACTTGATGTATCACTGATGGTCGGGTCGAAATTACATTATAGTAGCTGCTGGCGTTTGGCTACACAAAGCTCACACACTAAGGCACGGGCTCCAAAAGAAAAAGATGCCCATGGTTTACACTTTTCCCTGCTTCTGTCTAGGTTTGGACTAACTGGAAGTAGCATAGACCTCGTGCTTCTTTAGGTTTGTATGACACTAATGCACTGAAAGAATATCGCAACCTAACAATTACGAGTACTTGATCTACAAAAAACACGTCTTAACTTAAATGGAGTCACAATTCATGCATGCGCCAAGGGACAGTAAAATTTGTCCAGAAAGAACCCCAATTGTAAAACAATTCCGCAAGAGTGGGAGATATTACACACAAACCTTACGGTTGTCAGCGGGCCGATTAAAATAGTGGAAAAGGGCGGTTAAAAAGTCCCGATCAGCAGGCAAAGACGAAATCACTTAATGAATCCGGAAGGCTATGCCGACGCTTGCTCAACCACTGACAAGTACGACGCTTGTCTGCTACACTAAGATCCAAACCATTGTATCTGTCAAGGATACAATACATCGGTGTCTCGCGGGACTTTTCTGGGCCTGGTGAGGACGTAGGACTCACAGTTTTGAAGTAAATCAGATTGATTTCGGAAAGAGTCACCCATGCTACGCGAACTGGTCATAAACCACAGTTAATGTTACAGGAAGGTCCATACCACAGGATCCCGTTCGAATATGTACCAGATGAATAAGATCTCAAGACAACTGGCCTCCGACTTGATAACGAATTACGAAAGTGTTGATTACTGCTGCGGCTGCGCATGGAGAATCTGGAGCAATATACGCCAATCCTGAATTTATCCATACAGCCCACTCGTCCACATAATCTGCTACTGTATCAAATCCATCACCTTCAATCCGTGACTAAGGTGCCGCGCGATCGATCCGGCTACATCAATATCATGATTCGAAATCAGAATGTAACGTGTTGTAGTGCTTCTCAGGATTGAGAATATCCTGAGAAAGCTGATGAGCAAGCACGAACAAGTGGTCGATTGGCACACTGGTTACTTTCAGAAGGTTAGATTTTCGTGAAACAACATGTTCAATCCCAGTAATTTGTTGACCAAATTTGCTGGATTCCAATCTGATTCAGGCTACTAAGGACTAAGGATTAAGCTATAACAATTGGTCAATGGTGCACTGCTCTGGTAGTCTGGATGGAAGACAACATGATTAAGAAGTGATGTATGAGCTACACGAATTTTGACTGATACTCACACTTCCAATGTCGCCTTAGTGCAAGCCAAAACAAGCACTGTGTACAAAGCCTCGATAATTGCATATGAGCGGCAACCAATGAACCAGTGGCTGAAGAGGCCATTAGAAATCAATATGGCAATTCCACACGAAGAGAAGTATTTCACGGTCAGTCAAAGCAACACACATGAGTAACTAGTGTGTAGCACATACGCCCAGGTGCTTCGAAACAGACGTATCTCGTGAAAATACAGAAACTGTGAGAAAACCGGCTGCAGGGAAATGCAAATAAAGGTGGCACCTAAGGGAATCCTTCGATTCTTCCACCTCACACATGAATTAGTGGCAATACTGTTAATATGCATATGTTCACTGGGAAGCCATGAACTGTTTAGTTTGAACCGTTAATGCTTCCGGCGAGATCAGTCTACGCTCGATCCCCTTTCTCAGACCGCTTCGAGTGGACTGATTAGAATAAGAACACGTGCAAACAACAAAACGCACCAGCTGTACCAAGTTAGCCGAACTGGTTCCACGAACAAGGTATCATCAGAGAACATGACTGTGATCATCGAAAGCATTGTGCAACATTATTGTTCCGCCGCCGTACGACCATGATTTATTTGAAAGTCTTATTGTGAAGAAAAGAATAAAGTGGACGGGGAATGGACTGAGTGCTAGCCTACCAAAACTGTCCGAGGCGCCCACACCTCCAGACACTAATTCGAGCAATTTGGATAGAAACTGACAACCCAAACGCCACTGACATCGATTAGCAACTATGCAATGCGGATCGCACGGACCCTATCCTGGAAGGTGAGCAGCATCCTGACGTTTTGTACTCTTGCATACCTTCTGCCAGCTCAAGGGTTGGCCACCTCTCTGCTTCCGCCATCATGAATTAAGCAGGGAAAACAGCACTTTCTTTGGCATACGATGGGTCGGCATAAATGCATGGCCTAACCAACGCAGCTTCTGGTCCTGGATACATTCTCCGATGAAAGTTCCCGTTGCACAACCTAACAATCACATTCCAATTGCCTCGTTGCAGATTCGCCAACACCAACCTACACGAACTACGGTTCTGAGACAACGTTTGTCAAGGACCTGAAGGGGTCTCAGTTTCGACACTCGCAGAGGCCACGTTTCAGGTCGTACTGTGGCCTAATACATATCCTTGACGTTCAGGGATACGCTACTTCGACGCCAATTAGAAAACGCGACCCGAGTCTTAGAGATTCATGCACTGACCTTGTCTGAATCCGAAACAATGCTATTTCCAAGATAAGTAAAATGCTCCACAACTGTGAGTGCCTCTCCTTGGATTATAAGTGGTGTGGTCGGTGACTGCATGTTCAACAACATGACCTTACACTTTGTGGGTGCGAAGTGAATGTAAAAGGACGAGATAATTGTGATCAGGTAATCCTCATCTCAAAAGACGAGAATGATGTCATGTGCACATTACAGATCGACAAGGCTTCCGTTAGCAGCCATCTGAATACCAGGATTTTGAATAAGACTGGAGAGAGTAGACATCCTTGTCGGACATCACTTTGTGTGCGAAAGAGATTCTGGAAAGCTCCCCATGTCCTCGAATACGTCCGAAAGTCTGAGAATAGAAAGAACTTATGTTCATAAACCTCCAGGACATTTCTTGCTGGACAAGCGTGTTAAGGAGAACATACCGGTCAATCGAGTAGAATGCACCTTGAAAATCAAGGAATACTACAACTGTGGGTCGCTTTTACATATAGTGTTGTTCCAGCACCTGAGAGTGTGGAGGTTTGCTCAACACAGCCCCTACCAGTTGGAATTCCGTTTGCTACTCCTGAGTCAATGCTTCACGGACTACCATAAGGTGATGAGGCGAAAGTGACGCTAAGTCTCATTACGACCGGTGTCAAGCTGACCCACATGTGGTTATCACACTCACTACGAGCCCCATTTATAAAATGTCCAATAATATTATGGCGACTGGAGTTAAGCTGATTTCCCAGTGATTACGGTACTCACTAATGGCACCTTTCTGGATAATGAACACTAGCACCGGTTGTCTCCAGTTGTTTGGGACGGTCTTCTTTTTACATATGCAGACAAATAGATCAGACAAGCGGTGACTGAGGTTTTCATACATATCTTTGAACAATGCAGGTAGGAGGTCATCCAGACCAAGGACAGTAGTTCGCCATTGTCTGTGCGTACCGAGTCGAATCCATATCGATCAACTAATTGAGTCTCAGATACGCTACACGTGCGTGCATGCAGATCGTCAGTAACCACCACCATATTTCAAGTTGTAGGTCGCCGCAAAAGGGAATTCAAGGTGTCATAAAGCTCATCTTTGATGGTATCAGAGCTATAGTCGGTTAGGACGTAAACAGGTACGACAAACAGCGGTCAGTTTCCCGCTTGTGAGACTCCTTCACGGACGTTGCCAGACGAACCATACAGGAGTGATTATCAATGGGTGTCTAGTCAAGCAAGGATTCTGCTAACCGATAACTGAGGACGATGCCGATCGCTGTAGACCCTGCCGCAGCGGCCTCTAGATTACGAGAATTTCTCAGCCGGGAACTAGTTGTGGGTGATGGGGCAAGTTATCAAGATAAATGTGCTTGGATATTGAGTGCGTGGTTCGGAGAGGCAGCTCACAACAATTTCAAGCGATCCTAGTATGCAAGCAAGGGCGAAATGTAGTCCTGGTTGCTTCATAATGTGAACATTAAGAGTAACTTGATAAATCGGATTTCGGGTCTTGAAGATTAACATCCAGATGCCTTACGCTTTTGATGCTAGCTGACATCCAGATGTCGTGGCCAAAACAGGTGAATAAGGTTGTCAGGCCAAACGGATGGGCCTGCAAAGAGAGAATTACTAATGGGGTGGGGGGAGGGGGGAGAAAAAGCATATGAAAGATAGGGAAGGGAGGTGTTAGCAGTAGCCTGCCTTTGCTTGCCCACACATCAAGTAAGGTGGTTGGGCTGATCACGCCACGACCGTTAGTTGTATGTATCATGGTTAGGTTAACATAAACCAAAACTCTAAGATGAATCTAGCGTCGGTTGCGTTATGACGGTCAGAGGATTCAATAACCGTTTTGCGCGTTACGCAGAAAATGCCATATAAAGGTTTTGGACATGTTTGGGAGATTGGAAAGATTTGTTAAAATATACGTTAACTACGATGAATGGAAGCGACCACAAAACTTTGACCAAGTGAGTCAAAAATAGAAGACATACCTTGCATGAGGAATAGTGAGAGCAATACGCCAATGGAGAGAAAAGCTCCAACAGCACGAAAATAGGACCAGTAAACGTAGGAGTCAATGGCACCGAAAGCCTGACGTTCCCAGTCGACCGCTTCCGAGTCGTTCTCTTGTGGATTTAGCAGTGGAAGATCCGACACTTCTCTACCACTCCCTTGTCCCGTGGTGCCGATATTCGCATCAAGAAGTATAACACCATTAGGAATGTTCGGCATCTCTTCATGTGTACCTGGTTTCCCGTCCTGGGCAACCATAGGTACGTTAACACCACTGGTACATGGCATCTGGGCGATCGGATAAGAAACCTTTGGTGTGTCGCGTGGGACGAACCGGTTGACAATTTGACCGCTTTGCAACTCCAAAATTACGTCCGCTGGCGAATGACCATCCTACGATCCGTGGTGAAGATAGCATATTTAGATTTCGAACGGTGCGGAAAATATAGCTAGTGATGATGATTGAAGTGGCTTAAATCCAATCAAAAGAAAGATTAGACCAAAAACAATCCGTCCGAAATAAGATGACCCTTACTGTTATGAGAAGACATCTAACCATCCGTTATAAAACATGTACAGGACGTACAATTGTTTTAGCTGCCACGGTTACATCAACCGGTGACCTTCGAAAGGTTAGTAAAGTATTTAAAGCGGCAATTAGAGCGCGGGTACTTATTGAGGGGAGAATCAACAAAGGATTTGCACAGATGGCAATAGGGACCACTAATTTACATAGGCCCAGATGGCCGTATTACATTAATTCCCACTGACGACTGAGTTCGAATAGTATTGTGGTTTGATTAGTTGTGTCGGTAAAGGTTATTGAAATTAGACTTCATAGAGGTTAAGGTTTTCAGGCAGTAAACCATCTGGAGCTACTCGCCTCCAAATGAACTTATTCTAACAGACACAGGGATGATCAAGGCGGAATAAATAGAAACTATGGTTGGGAGTTTGGGTCCCCGACCAGGAAGGCCTGTTGGTGGGCAAAAGCTAGTGTTCTATGGAGCTCACTTAAGGACAGGAGACCAATTCAAAGACTGATAATAAAATTAAGGACATTACCTCAGGTGTCAGCCACATAGTCTGATGTGAAGTAACAACTCGAATTCTGTCAGCCAACAAGCCGAGCAGACAGTGTTTCACAATGTGTTCGCCCACATGCACATCCAAAGCTGCCAGTGGATCGTCAAGAAGGTAGATGTCCGCTTTCTGGTAGACCGCTCGGGCTAACGCTACTCTAGCACGTTGACCGCCACTCAACCGGCTACCACCGGCTTCACCAACATCGGTATCAAGGCCATGGGGAAATGTAGTTATATCTGTCTCCAAGGCACATGCAAAAACGACTTTTGACAACCAGAGCGAATCGTAAGGAGCACCGAAAACTATATTATCCCGCACTGTTCCAGTACACAACCACGGTGTCTGTCCGACATAAGCGTAGTGCGGCCTCTGTCTCAATTGATTCTCACCAACGACCTCTATCAAAGGTTCCAAAGCGTTCATTTCACCCAAAATAGCGAGCAGCAAAGCAGATTTGCCAGATCCCACTGGGCCAACCACGCCGACCAACTGACCCTGAGGGGCGAACAAAGACGGAAAAGTCAGCATTTAGAGCTTATCTTCACGCAAGAAAGTAGGTAGAAATATATGAACGAAAGATGACGAAATCGCTTGAACAAACAGAATGAGTGTATGAGTGAGTGATACAATCTGACTGACTGATAACTTTATTGTGCGCATATAGTTAGGCTGCTTGAGTTAACTATTGATCGTACCACACGCTTCAAGCATAATAATATGCCGTTATGGTGGAGTGTAGAAGTATAGATAAAGTACGGAAACAGAACATAATGACTAAAAATAAAAGCAAAAGTAACAGGGTTAATATAGATGGAGAATTCGATGGGCGAGACAGTTTGTGAAAGCTGCCATAGAGAACACTGTAGTAATTCGAAAGCCTTCTCTGCTCGACAATCGAGAGATGTGTATTTTTTGGATAGTATCGTCGGGCGCCTGAGAGATACGGTCATCCGAATTGAATTGGGTATCACCAATAAAGTTAGCATGCATTTGCGGAGAAACATGAACGATCGCATGCAAGCCCTTGGGGAGCCTATGACGAGCTGTCATTAGAGTATAATTTATGCACACGATATATATAATACATCAATATGCGGGGGCTCTGAAAATCCGTCTTTCCTGTCATAAATACTTATTGTGGTGGACAAGGGTTGGCTCGATGAGCTCTTATAAACAGAAATAATGGCGTGAGGCTACCGGAAGATGAAGGAAAATTGGTTAGTGAATAGCTGATGCCTGTTCTGGCAAACCATTGCATACACTGGATTGGGCCCCAAAGAACCATGCCACCAAAAACAAACTGCCCAAAAGCAAAATGCAAAAAAAACATGGCGTTACCCAGCTCGACAGAGAAATCCACGTGGATATGAGAATAGCTGTCATTAGTGACACACGGAATTAATCATAAGTCGTCACTTGAAGCGTTCATGCAGAATGAGCTGATTTTGGAATGCAAAAGATACGACACCGTGGTACGCGCGACAGTACTGAATTAGGAACGAGACCAGCAACAGAGGAGTCAATAAGAATTTTGGCAATATTATCGGAACTACTGCAGATACTGCCGGGAGCGAGCCATAAAACCGTTGTGGTCTGAAGTATGCCACTTCACTCATCAATTGCCCACATCCCCACAGAAAATTTGCAGGACGGTATTGCGTTGAAAACGAACCCAGAGTTTTGGGTTCGAAACTCCAACGTGAAGCGAGTATTAAAACTGTGACGAGATACAGCACTGAACAGATGTAAACGTAAACAAAACCCAATAGTCACGTCTGCGGAATTAGTGTTCCAGAGCCACGCTATTTAGCGCAGTTGTCCCGAAAGTGAACTCTTACATCAAACAGAAATAATAAATATCAAGAGAGATAAGCCAACTTTCAAACTGAACCTGTAGAAGCCGTCTTCCAAATTCCATTGCCTTCCTTTGCTTCTTTTGTTGGAAGCGTAGGTGAAACATTGGCGTACTCAACCAGTACGACGGCAGAATGTGGTACTTGAACCTAACTCCTAAGATATATGGCCTGAAGTCTCGTCAGTTCAGTGATACAAAGTAATGGTCTAAAAAACAAGGTGTCACAGATGAAAGCGATACTACCACTTGAAGTACTTTACTAGACGTGCACAACTAAGATAACTGATCCAGTGACCAACCTTCTGAATGCATAATGTGATGTTGGTGAGCACTGGCTTCTCAGGATTGGACCAATAAAATCTGGCGTTGTGCAGGTCGATCGATGTTGTTGGTTTGCGCGATGGTGTGGGAGGATGCAAGTCGTCCAGCGGGACCGTTGTTACTTCTGGTGGGAACGGACCACTGGGAAGATGGAGCAAATGGATAATTCGTTGTACAGAGACGGTCGCTTCGATGACGCCGTTGATGACCCACGGGAAAGCGTTCATAGGTCCAATGAGCATACCAAATAAGGAAAGACTGGTGAATACCTGCATTGGAAAATGAGGGAAGCACATGATACATTGGTCACGGTTATTCAAATGTAGTATTTACATCATATAGAAATAGACAAACTATGTACAGTAGTTCCCTCTTAAAGACAAACTGTGGCGAGTTTCGCTCCACAACCCCTGGGAGGTTCCCTGATTGGGCAGCAGCAAAACAGTTGGTGGATTGGAAGTCTGCGTCATCTCCCTTCAAGATAGATTATCACAAGACAATGTACCGACCGGAAGTGGCTTCCCATCAGAAGACCGCACACTAAGTCATACATCGCAGAAAATGCTGTTGTGTACTCTCCAGGTGGGCGGTGCTCCCGAAGAGGTCTCTGATGACTGGATTACATTGCCCGGTTTCAACCCAGAATGTCACTAGCAATGGAAACACCAGTTATCCTCAGGGCACGAGCGTACGCTGTGTCTGGGCCCTTGCATTTCTTCTGTCAAAGCTGTGCGCGGAAATGACACCACGCCTAGACGATTTGATGGATTTTAAAGAGAAGTGATTAGTACCAATCGGAAGCACAGGAAGATTCGTCACTGCACGAGACTATGTTTATGTTTGACTCCGTAAAGACATAGAAGTCTATACAAGCTGTTGCTTCAAAAAATCTAATTCATTGGGAAATTGACCTTCATCCCTGTGGTAGTGTGTTCAATACATCCATTGCCATTCCTGGGAAACTGAATAAGAGACCGTAAAAAGTTCAGTGATCGTCGTACAAAAACACTGTAACGTCCAACGTTTACAGCTATACAGGCGGATGTATATTTAATATTATATGTAACTTCGTTATAACCGGGAGTGCGAAACTTTCAGTATTGATTCCGAGAGTGAGAAGATTTATGGCCTGACTCTGTGCAGTACCGGGCTGAAACGTTTTCCCCACATTTTTATTTCGGGGGCAACATGCGTGCAGATTCTCAGGACACAGGATGGCAGTCAGTCCGAAGTTGTCCATGTGCGTTTTTGATCCCGGTCATTCGTATGTTAATCCACGATCCTATCCCCTTCGCTGATTGTATCAATGTCTCTTCACATGAACTCTATGTAGAATCACTACCGTTACAGTGGTAAATCAATTAGAGAGCTCAAACAAATAAATATGATAGATCCATCCACCGTATACCAACTGAAACTATGATTTCCATATTAAACTTGTTTGCACTGCGAAGTGGAGCCAGTTACTGTGAAATCGGGCCACGAAACGCACAACGACCTTGCATTGTGCGTCTTGAATGTGACTGAAGGTTTACTTCCCTCACTGTCGACAAGACAAGCAGCTCACTTTCGTTGAAACATAGTAAAGCAACATTAGTAACGGTGCATAACACAGGGGACCACTACGGCAACACACGCATGCATGTTACAAGCTACACGGTTGCGTAAAATGCGTAGACTGGACCGAGAGACGTGGTACACACGTGTGTGAGGAACTTTTTTACGGTTGAAATCTGCCGAACACCCAGCATTCAATGGTGCTTATGTAAGAAATTTCGCAAAGCAAATGGTCGGCATACTATGGATCCTGTTTCAGCGCCCCAATCGACACACTGACTATTGTAACAGGGAACTATTCAACACTTTTCTAGATTACTTCAGCTATCTTCGGCGTTAGAATGAGTTGGCTTCCCAGATGACTTGAATGGCAGATGCCCAAACACAGTGGCAAGATTCCTTTTGTCATCCATTAAGCTATATTTTTCTCCCTATCAGAACTGTGGAAGTGTTAGCACTGATGTACTGCCATGCGTTTACTGTCTACAGTGTGTATCTACTAATTGGATAGGAAACACGCCTCAAACTGAAGGCAAAACAAATAGAAAAAACGAAGCAGTTACGCAACCTGACTACCGTATACGCATCGATTGTGGAATCTTGATCGGTAGATTCGTGATTATTGTAATGTGCAGCAAACATGAAATTAATGCATATTACGTAACAGTATTTGAATTCTGTCAAAGCACGTCGCGGCGTCTACAGTTGTTTATTCAAACATTTTTCCGCACAACGACTGCGGTCCAAATCTTTGAAACAGGATAACCGAAATAACCAAACCATTCAATTCGGAGCAAATATATCATGATATGACAACTCGAAATGAAATGGGCTAAGGTTAAATTACGTGATTTTGGACCTTTACGTTTCCTTGGATCTAGTTTGTTGGACATCTATATTGCTTGAACGTCAGCCCGATAGGACGTGGCACTTAGGCGATCCTAGGAGTGATCATGCTGTTGCTTCCTGACCGGACCACCCAGCTAAAGTAGTTTGTTTCTACCTGCACGGTTCATTACGGATACTGGATCAATGCCATTGATGGTATGCTTCTACGATGTTATGTCCAGTTGTGTTTACTTCAATGCTGTCAACAGATGCCAGAGACTCCAGTTTAGTCGGTTTCAAAATGGAATGATGCATCTGCACTAAGTTTTCACCTTTCCATTTTTATTGTGCTTATTAATAACGTGTTCTTTCCACACCATTGTATGGCATTTAGATATTAGTAGTTACTTAGTGTGTATTGATGTCGAAAGTGAAGCTACACCTACCATGAAGTTTTCAGTCATACTGATACCCAGGACAAGGACCCCAGCTTGTTACCAATGGGATTTTTCCTTCAAGGTTGTGAAAGGACTAACTCTTGTCACAAGGTTAAAGTTAAAAAAGATCGTTCAGCTGTAACACAATTTTGGTACCTAGCTGCCATGCCACCCGAAGAAAGCACGAGAGCTAAGATACTGCCAGGTTGCTCCAACCCAGACAGGAGTAGTCGGGTTGAGCTCGAACCGCAGACCTTCAGGTAAGTAAGTTCGCCGTTTAGCCACTGAGCTATCACAAGGTTTATTGCAGTGTAAGCCACGAAGTCAAAGGGTATAGAGGATCACAGTATTTGAAAGCGACCTGGTTAGACAAACATATTTACGTGAAGAGCAATAAATTTAAAAACCTAGCAAGACATTACCGGGATTCGTTGAATCCGTAGATACAGGTGACTTTAAACATCAGTAAGAGAGAAAATCAGGTACATGGGGTGGATGCAGATGTCCTTGAAGTGTACATTTGAGAACACTAGTCTGACTTACGATGGGAGCGCTGAGTTGATTACCCAATGAGACGTAGGTAACAAACGTGCAACTAGCCAAGAGAGCAGGACAAGCTGCCCAGCAGAACACGCAACCAGCGTCTAACAGCTTTTGGAAACGTAGAGCCCGAAGTTCTTGAGATCGTGACTGCAAAATTCTTGAGCGCATCAACCACTCCCAGCAAGCCAGTTTGACAGCGGTCATACTTGACAGCGTTTCAGACATGAGCTGCACAAAAAATTAGGCATTAGATGGTCGAGTAGATAAACTTGAAAGGAGTTGGTGCGAAGACATCTGGATCAGTATAAAGTGAACTCATGTTCCTCACTGCTTCAAATAGCTAAGTAAGGACCAAAGGATTTATTACGGAGCACTTCTTTCAAATCAGTGTTATACATTTGGCGTGAAGATCCAAAGAATTCGACTTCTGGCAGCGCACAAGGCCTGGTGTCACCAAGACACTCAGCATGGAGTCTATTAGCTTTCCGTAAGTTGCACCACATAACCTAAAAAATGTGACATAGTTCACCGCAAAAATCAGGTCTCCAGGTTACTGTGAAAGGGTCAAGATTGGTTATCTAAAGGACTCGAAACTCTCAACACTAAATCACAGCTTGGAGACTGGGGATGCATGCCATTTTCGCAAGGATTAGTTGACACTAAAGCATCGACAGAAATTCTTCAACTCAGTAAAACACAAGGAACCATACAAAAAAACTGCACGTATGGGTACCCTATTGAATACCTTGCACTAATGACCGTGCGCACGTATCTATCCCACCGATGATGCTAGATGGCTCCAGGAAAACACCATAAACATCAAAAACTGGAACATCGACTGTTGGGCCTCTGAGTCATCTTGACCCTATCCTTATCAGTTTTTTGTTGTCCATCATTTGCCAAGTCTTATCTGTTGTTGATGGCAATTGGACAACAGGAGCGTTCACACGGACACTAAGACGCGATTCATCGTGCTTTGACCTTACTAGTGAAAGTACACATAACTAGAACGGTGATAAGTTTAGTCGTAGTGCGCTCGTTCCCGCCGCATTTGTCCCAGGGTTGCACACGGTGTACTGTGCAAGAGCCAAGCACGCCTTTAGGCCTAAACACATTCATGGGACCAACACATTCACACATTGAAAGGATTAAGAAATATGATTCTCCGCCCACTGCGATATCAAAGCCTAATGCAAAAAAGTCGAATGAGTAAAAATATAGAGCCGATGACAGAACAGCCGGAGTCAAAGACCCGTAAGGATATGTCCACATTCAGTCCCAAACTGAAATGATGATATACCGTCCGAGAGGTTTCAATTCGACCTGGCGCGAATTCTCCACCTCCTGTCCTTTGGTTGTGCTATCCGATGAGCCCAATCTACGTTATTTCAAGCCTGTTCTAGCCAAGCGCAGAGCAAGTAAACCGGTTTCGTGTAGTTTACCAACACCTCAGCATACCGTGCTTTACTGCGGTAATTGGGATGTTGCCTATGGAACTGATATGGGAAAGAATGAGTCTTACTCAAATCCCGTTCCGAAGTGTGCGTGCTGGATGATGTTAGGGGACTACAAGTGATAAATGCGCATAAACGTTTTTATTACCTTCGACTATATTCCATATTTACTACCAACGGTCTATGTAGCCGAGAACTAGGTTGAAGGTTGTACTGAAGGGAACTACTCATAAGGTTGCTAAAAATTCCCCTCCTCGCCCCGTTACTAAAGCTATATTCGTAGGCCCATTCTTAAGGACTGACGAATCTACTCACTGACCATTGTCGTTAGCTGTCATACCTGCGCTTAACTCGACTGCAACGGCCAGACATTTCGGAGTTACTCTTCAAACTTGGACGGTCAGTTCATACGAGTTTTTAAAGTTCGAAATCTGAAACAATCTGGACACTACACTACTCGTGTTTGTAAGCCGGACTGGTTTCCTACTTATGTATGCTACTACCCCGGGGTTCGAGAAACAAGTTCGGCTGTTGAAATAACATGTCCGTCGGTTCATGCGCCACTCTGGTAGCCAGGAATAAGCCATGGGTGGTTATGTAAGTGCTAACATTGTTTCAAGCTAATTAACTAAGGGTCTCTGCCCGAATGGTTGCTAGTTGTCTGTATCCGGTTCGTCTAGCATGTTGGACACGTATTCCTGCTAGTCGAGAGTACAATTCACAACTCGACGAACTGTCAGACGTCGGATGAAGAAGAGCATCCGTGCGCATTGACAAGCTTGGTCCGTAAAAAGCATGGAGAAAGCGAGAAACCCTGAGTGTGCAACATGCCAAAAAGTCTGGTGAGCGAAGCAATCGACGACACAGATGACAGCTCATCTTCTAAAAAAGACATTTGAATCTTTGGATGTAAAGCTCTCAAGAACGAATAAACTGGCCATATTTAGTTTCTCAGTGGGCGAACTTGGAACGTACGGCGGTTTCGGAAAGATGCAAACGTCTTTGTTCTTTCGGGCACCATCGAACTGGCGGTCCTGTTGAAGCTTCATTCACTCTGCCCAAGGACGGAGGTGAAATCTGTCAGTGCTTGTCTACTTATTTGCATCTACATGGGTGAAACAGACCATCAAAGCCGACCGGGGTGAGTGCTCATTAAAAAGTGTTTGCACTGAGAGTGGCAAGCAAAGAGGGATTCGTTTGATAATTGTGGTAGCCGGACTGAAGAGAGAATTAGGCGGGCTCCACAAGCTTGGAATTTAGATCCTTTCAAACGAGAACCTTATCAATCACATTGTTCTCATTTTTGAGGAAGGGGAAGAAGTGCAAGAACTGATCAACGTCATGAAAATTTTTGGCCTCTGACTCGCACCAATACATTCATGCATCAGGACATAGTTCTTCAGCATGTCTCTGAGAATTCCAAGAGAGACATCGGAAATGGTGCAACACTGTATGTATCCCGGAGATTACATTGCAAATTATGCAGGTATCACACCGTCACCATACAGCGGTTCGCATACATTCAGAACCGATTAAGATTAACTGACGCGAGGCCCAGGTCACATCCGACACCGGATTTGTGGAACAACCACCACTTCTTCATCATTTGGGCTACCTTTTCCGAAACAAATCCTCATTGTGTATTTTGAGCGATTTCTAAGCTTCATACCTGCTTTGACCTTCTCACAACTGTTAATGCGTACGTAAGTCATTAGGGTACACCAAAACAGGTAGATAAAGCGCCTCAACTGATTGTTTCAGCCCACGCAGTCCCATAAAACGCAATCTGTCGATGCAGTACACCCGAAACGTTCACATAGGGACGCTGCATGAGTGAGTTACATACCACAATTACAAGTCTCTCAAGATCCACGCAGAGTGGCGATATTAATCATTCGGCTTCCGTACAATAGCCCTACTAGTGTCTGACAACATAACCTGACAATTTAAAATGGGACGCGTTCAGAGCCATCACGTGAAGATTGATACTGAAGTATTTTTGCATTTTTGACGAAACACGTAGCGTGAGTGCACGCGCGTGCAAGCGCCAATGACGTACAGCCCCTAGTTGGGAGATGTTCATCTAACAAGCAAGCCACCCTACAGGCCAGTGACATGTACGATGATGTAACCATCCGTCACCGACCTCTCTCGTACCTTTTACGAACAAATTTTATTTTTGTGAATAGTATTCGGATGAGAAGCGTTGAAAGCATTATAATTTGGTACACTTATGTGTTACAATGACTCACTGATGGTTTAGTGGTTCTACCATCATCTGAGCTTTGAAGTTAGCTTGTACAAGTGAACTCTGAAAACCAATATTTCAACAATCGTTTCCTGGTCAATGATTGTGCCAAATATAGTCAGAGATCCCCATTTTGAAGTTAAAACTGTCCATGTGAAACGCCACTGAGAAATCACACAAAAAGGTCCATTGAAACTATATGTCCGGAACTCGTTGAATATCATCCAGCGCCAACACTCGTTGGAGCCGCTTAAGACAAACTAGTGATTTCTTTCGAGGAATTTCAGGCACACACAAAATAGTTGCAGTCGTTAGACAGGGCGGAACCATCTAGTCCAGTACATTCACAAACATCCTACGGTGCATACTTGAACACTTTTTCTCGAGATGTTATTAACAAGTTCAAAGTTTTGTGTTCCACGATGTCACTCAGAACAGCTACAACGGAGGATGTTCGATCGTTTTTGTTCGGGAAAACCCTAATTCCAAGTCTCATGAGAACGTAGAACAATTTGAATATGCGTCATTGCTACCTGTTACGGTACTGTCGCACACCTGTCTAGCACTTGCATGTCCTAAACTGAACACATGATGATGACGGTGTCTTTGTCACGCAACCGGATAAATGTAGTCTGCTATAGGACTCTTAGATCAATCCGATTATTTTGGAAGGATGGTTTCTATCAACCACTGTTCAGAGGTGAGGCGGCGTTGGTTTTCCCACCTTTCACGGTTGAAGACTGAATCTGATAACAAAGGGCATTCTCCCATGATGATGCATTTGCGTTTTTTCTGGCAACCGAAATTCAATTCAGCCTATTCGCACCAGGAAACTTAAATTACAGATGAACCAAAGTCGTTTTATCTACAGCCAGATCCGGCCGGTGGGCCGGACACATCTGGTCTGAGAGAATACATGGACCACTAGTGGATCGAACATAATGCATAATATGAGAATAAGACGAACTAGACTAGAAAACTAAGAAACATACCTTGATTCGAGCATCTTTGAAATGCATAAGTCGCTTGGAATATTTCCCGATTTGATTGGCCAAAAGGCGATTGATTGGGAGCAGAATCAGTAAAAATGCGACCCCGACTAAACATGATACACCAAGCTGCTGATAGAGAAGTACTATTGCTAGTAACAATTGAAGCGGCATGGCCCAAACCTCGTGAACACTTGGAGCCAGATTGACTATTCGGTCCGCGTCCGCCGTCAAGTAGTTGACCAGACCTCCTGTACCGATGCCACTCAGAGAGGTGGTGCGCACGGACAAAATTCGTCGATACAAAAGACTAGTAACGGACACACGTATCTTGTATCCAAATGTGGCCATACGATAATCATAATGTGCCCCAACTAACGCAGCTAAGAACGCCAGCGCAACCAGCAAACCACCCCAGATTGAGCTGACAGAGTAACTCGAGTTCTTGTCTGAAAGACTCAGGATGAACAAATTCAAGACAACAGGTGAACATAAGTTGATGGCGCTCAAAAGAAACTTGAGGAAGCCGAGAAAAACGAATTCAGTTCCAAACACACGATAGACAACTTTGATGAAAGGCCAGGAATTTCTGACAGAGCTCTTAGATTCATCCCCATTATTGTTCCCGAAAAGCTTTTGATCCGCTGCTATCTTAGACTCTAACTCGATTGTGTTCAGACGTATAGGCAATGGAGGGAGTTTGGATATGTCACCTAGCTCTCCATAGTAGCCCGCGATGATGGTGGGACTCATCCAGTGGAAAAATACTTTTGAAAGGCAGCTCGCATTCTCTTCGCCATGCAATCGACATCTGTTATAAGGATAGCGTGACTCGACGGATAAAACGGTTGAAGAACCTGACAACAAAGGTTGGCTATCAGCAGACTGATCTAGAGGCTCATCTCCCGAACCAGCAACAACAGCGGCAACTTCCGTTATCGGAGCTGTTCGTGTCAATCTGGCATTCCTACGTCTGGGTTCTTCAAAATTATAAGAGATAGGAACCTTTGTAACGAGGTGAAAAGTCACCAAACAAAGGTGGAGTATTCGAGAGGTAACTGCATAAACTCGCCATGGATCTGGAACTTGCTGGAATACAGACCACGCTGTCAGCACACAGGTGTAGAAGTAGATGAGAGACAGAATCAGGTGAAATAGCGGACCCCGAGAAGAATAGTGCATGGTTTTTCCATGGAAGAAGTCGTAAAGTAACATGACTAGCCACAAAAACATTGAGACTGCGTTGTGAACGATTTCGAAACTGGCATTTGCGGCATACGCATCGCTGAGGAGTGGTAGAAAATACCCGAGGATAACGAACACAATTCCTTTGCACAGAATACACACAATCATAGTGATACGAAACCAGAAAATCTTGCAGGGGAAAGCTTCGAAAGCAGCATCGAGTCGGTACAGTACACAGTAAACGATGGTCACAAGTAAGTAAAGTAATACCACAGGGATGGATACGTAGAGTTCAAGGAAACAGAGTCCAATACTACCATTAGTCCATGGTTGTATGGAATATGAACCACAATAGCCATGAAGAGACATGGTTGAAAGTTGGAATGCAAGATTCGATCACGAGGTAAGCTTCGAATATGAAGGTAGGCTGAAATAAAAAAGAACAGGATTGTTCCTGAATATTGTGCATCCCGGTGCAAACTAAGAATGTGGTGGGGTATTGATAAATAATAAATTTACCGAAAATCACCAGATGGACTCCCAATGATTTGTGGGTTATTTTTTGAAGCTCATTAGGGTACTTCAGGTTCGGCGCTCAATATAATCCGATGTTTTGATTACCTAAAGCCATGTTCATTGGGAAAAGTGAGAAAAACCGCGAAGTTAAGTCAATGAAGACGTAATATATTTCTATCAGGCGAGTGACGGCAAAGAAATATGGCCATCAATGATTTTCGGCACCGGAACATAATCAACTACCTGGACGGAAAACTATGAATGAAAAAGATGGCCGTCCAACCTTACTGCACACACACCGAGCATGGTCATCACTATTATGAACAGTAGTCCGTGGCTCCAGCTGTTGGTTTTACTCGTGAGTGATTCAAAGCAGATGCTCGGATTGAACAAGTCCAGCGCTGATGCTGCATACAGTGTTACTGGTTGGAATGCGCCGATCAAAGTGACAATGATGCCTCAGGTACAACGAAGCAACTGGGTAACTTTTTCCGGCATAATCGATAACTGATGTGACTGATCCAGGATCCCTAGCCATGGAGACTACAGTCGTTAGCGCGACCGAGTTCGGTGGTGACAGCCGTCATGCTGCGTTACCGATTCAACTTTGAACCATTTCCCTCTGCATATGATCATAAAAGCAGCTCTACGAGAAGGAGGCTCCTCAGACGTTGCACATTTGTAAACCCTACCCGAAAGATACAAGCTGATACAAAGTCGACGGAATAGAAGTCGCAGGTCAGAACACCAGGATCAAGCAATTGGCATCCGGTTCCGTTTTCCAGTAACATTTCATATTTTCAGGTGTGGAGTGCTTACTTAGAGGAACTATTTACGCTGTTCCTTTGACCTGCTTATGATTTAACCTAAGAACGATATCACCTGCAAACTCAGTAACCGAAAAATCCAGGAGATGGGATGCCTGAGTTTAACACCACAGGCATCAGAGGCCAGTTGAGACTACTCGATGCAACAATATCAGAAGGAAATAGGCAGAATGGCATCCTCGCACGACACGGCCCAAGCAGAAGCGTGTATCCCGTCTGCACGTCAAGAAAGACGACTGCTGGTGAAATATATTCAGTTGAAAAATAATTTTAGTCGGATGGTTCAACTGAATATCTCGTTGACGGTGTTTTTTTAAACTAATTGTGCCGCAAAAGGCCACCCCGTGTTTCATTTGGTACGCGAGTAGAGATGCTTTCCGGAGGGAACATACTATTTAGACGGCTGCTGAAAACTCCTAGATAGCCACCTCATGTTTCCTTCGACGATGAGCCACAGGGAGGACGAAGCCAACGGGATATTAAACAGTGTTGAACAATCCCGTCAGTAATATTTTCCGTCAAGAGGTAATCATCGTTCACCGATGAAAGCAGTAGTACTGTTCTGTCATACACCGACGGATGATGAAGAGAAAGAACAAGCCTGACCTTTTCAGAAATTCATTTCTTGGTGTACAGTTGACCTGGGCCGGATAAATACACAGAGCAGATTGGATACTACAGCTATCGGCCTAATAGAGATTTTGAGCACCCTTTCTGAAGATTGGATGTAAAAAAGAACAACTTTCTTCGTTTCATATTGTGCGAGGCAGTGAGGCCCAGATGGTCACAAATGTAAATGACAGCTGGCTGCTATTGAAATTTACGCATGCATAATCATCACAGGGCTCGATTTCAAACACTGTATATTGGGCACTCTAAGGGATGCTGTGTTGTTAAACAGCACGATAAACACTAGAGTTCGTATACTAAAGGGAACAGCATCCCACGTCACCTCTCGGTTCACCAAAGCACAGCTTCAGCCGACACATGAGGCACCTGTTAGCTGATAAATCGAAAACTGGCCTTTTGCATTAACCATGGCCGGGACACCATCCTTAATACGCGTTAAAAACATCCCTCCATCGTCAAACATTAATAATAAGATCGCGAGAAGAAGTGGTTAAGCAAGTACGGCTACCCATGTTCTGGTAAAAGAAAGCTTGCAACCTAGAACATACAGCGCGTGTCACCCACCACGTAACAACGTGACCAGTTGGCACTCAG